GTTTTTGTGGGACAGTGTAACTATGCAGCCCCTATAGGTCAACAAACACAGGACAGAGCTGACCAATGACTCATGAAATCTATCCTGAGATCTCCCTCCTCAGTTTCAAAACATTCATTTAGCACTGCATTAGCGAAATAGTCAACAGCTTGTCAGTCTTTTCCCTATCTTGACCTGGATTCTGAACAGATTAGGCTTTTGACTTTAACTTGGAATTTAACTCATTTTAAAAATTTCATACACATTTAGGTAAAATAAAAAATTCACCTAAGACAAGACAATGTATTTAATTTATAATATATATTATACTTATATATATTTTAAATACTCTTTTGATTAATAGTAAAATTTTCCTAAGTAGACTTAAAAGTTAGATTTTGAAAAGAAAAACCACCATAGGGATTTCCCTGGTGGTCCCGTGGCTAAGACTCCATGCTCCCAATGCAGGGGGCCCAGGTTCATTCCCTGGTCTGGGAACTAGATCTCACGTAGTGCAACTAAGTCTTCAAGTGCTGCAACTAAAGATCCCACATGCCACAACTAAGACCTGGCACAGCCAAAGAAATAAATTAAAATTAATAAAAATTTTAAAAGCCACTATACAGTAAAAGTAACTTTTTTTCTCTTTCCTTAAACTTTCAGAAGGAAAATGAACTGTCACGGAAGATTATCTTGGCACTACTGATGAACTTTGTCCGGCATTTGGGTCTTTTCACCTTTATCTTTAAGAGTAGTGGTAATGTTACAGTGATTTATTATTTGTATTCTGAGCTTTGAATACCAGACTAACTTCTTTTTACATGATTATTATGAGAGAAGAAAATATTTTGTTTTCCTGTGGACAGTTTGATATGCTTCATTCTAAATTGAAATTATTTAGTTCTAAGACCAGGCAATCTAATCACATGGACCACAGCCTTGTCTAACTCAGTGAAACTAAGCCATGCCATGTGGGGCCACCCAAGATGGTCGGGTCATAGTGGAGAGGTGTGACAGAATGTGGTCCACTGGAGAAGGGAATGGCAAACCACTTCAGTAATCTTGCCTTGAGAACCCCACAAACAGTATGAGAAGGCAAAATGATAGGATACTGAAAGAGGAACTCCCCAGGTCGGTAGGTGCCCACTATGCTACTGGATATCAGTGGAGAAATAACTCCAGAAAGAATGAAGGGATGGAGCCAAAGAAAAAACAATACCCTGTTATAGATGTGACTGGTGATAGAAGCAAGATCCAATGTTGTAAAGAGCAATCTTGCATAGGAACCTGGAATGTTAGGTCCATGAATCAAGGCAAATTGGAAGTGGTCAAACAGGAGATGGCAAGAGTGAATGTCGACATTCCAGGAATCAGTGAACTAAAATGGACTGGAATGGGTGATTAACTCAGATGACCATTATATCTACTACTGTGGGCAGGAATCCCTTAGAAGAAATGGAGTAGCTATCATGGTCAGCAAGAGTCCAAAATGCAGTATTTGGATGCAATCCCCAAAATGACAGAATGATCTCTCTTCATTTCCAAGGCAAACCATTCAATATCACGGTAATCCAACCCTATGCCCCTACCAGTAACACTGAAGAACCTGAACTTGAACGGTTCTATGAAGACCTACCAGACCTTTTAGAACTAACACCCCAAAAAAGATGTCCTTTTCATTATAGGGGACTGGAATGAAAAGTAGGAAGTCAAGAAACACCTGGAGTAACAGGCAAATTTGGTCTTGGAGTACGGAATGAAGCAGGGCAAAGGCTAATAGAGTTTTGCCAAGAGAACACACTGGTCATAGAAAACACCCTCTTCCAACAACACAAGAGAAGACTCTACACATGGACATCACCAGATGGCCAACACCGAAATCAGACTGATTATATTCTTTGCAGCCAAAGATGGAGAAGCTCTATACAGTCAGCAAAAACAAGACCAGGAGCTGACTGTGGCTCAGATCATGAACTCCTTATTGCCAAATTCAGACTTAAACTGAAGAAAGTAGGGAAAACCACCAGACCATTCAGGTATGACCTAAATCAAATCCCTTATGACTATACAGTGGAAGTGGGAAATAGATTTAAGGGACTAGATCTGATAGACAGAGAGCCTGATGAACTATGGATGAAGGTTCGTGACATTGTACAGGAGACAGGGATCAAGACCATCCCCATGGAAAAGAAATGCAAAAAGGCAAAATGGTTGTCTAAGGAGGCCTTACAAATAGCTGTGTAAAGAAGTGAAGTGAAAAGCAAAGGAGAAAAGGAAAGATATTCCCATTTGAATGCAGAGTTCCAAAGAATAGCCAAGAGAGATAAGAAAGCCTTCCTCAGCGATCAATGCAAAGAAATAGAGGGAAACAACAGAATGAGAAAGACTAGAGATCTCTTCAAGAAAATTAGAGATACCAAGGGAACATTTCAGGCAAAGATGGGCTCCATAAAGGACAGAAATGGTATGGACCTAACAGAAGCAGAAGATATTAAGAAGAGATGGCAAGAATACACAGAAGAACTGTACAAAAAAGATCTTCATGACCCAGATAATCACAATGGTGTGATCACTCACCTAGAGCCAGACATCCTGGAATGTGAAGTCAAGTCAATAGGAAGCATCACTGCAAACAAAGCTAGGTGGAATTCCAGCTGAGCTATTTCAAATCCTAAAAGATGATGCTGTGAAAGTGCTACACTCAAAATGCCAGCAAATTTGGAAAACTCAGCAGTGGCCACAGGACTGGAAAATGTCAGTTTTCATTCCAATCCCAAAGAAAGGCAATGCCAAAGAATGCTCAAACTACCTCAATTGCACTCATCTCACACGCTAGTAAAGTAATGTTCAACATTCTCAAAGCCAGCCTTCAACAATACGTGAACTGTGGACTTCCAGATGTTCAAGCTAGATTTAGAAAAGCCAGAGGAACCAGAGATCAAATTGCCAACATCTGCTGGATCATCAAAAAAGCAAGAGAGCTCCAGAAAAACATCTATTTCTGCTTTATTGACTATCCCAAAGCCTTTGACTGTGTGGATCACAATAAACTGTGGAAAATTCCAAAAGAGATGGGAATACCAGACCACCTGACCTGCCTCCTGAGAAATCTGTATGCAGGTCAGGAAGCAACAGTTAGAACTGAACATGGAACAACGGACTGGTTCCAAATTAGCAAAGGAGTACATCAAGGCTGTATACTGTCACTCTGCTTATTTAACTTATGTGCAGAGTACATCATGAGAAACACTGGGCTGGATGAATCACAAGCTGGAATCAAGATTGCCTGGAGAAATATCAATAACCTCAAATATGCAGATGACACCACCCTTATGTCAGAAAGGAAAGAAGAACTAAAGAGCCTCTTGATGAAAGTGAAAGAGGAGAGTGAAAAAGTTGGCTTAAAGCTCAACATTCAGAAAACAAATATCACGACATCCAGTCCCATCACTTCATGGCAAATAGATGGAGAAACAGTGGAAACAATGAGAGACTTTATTTTGGGGGGCTCCAAAATCACTGCAGATGGTGACTGCAGCCATGAAATAAAAGGCGCTTACTCCTTGGAAGGAAAGTTATGACCAACCTGGACTGCATATTAAAAAGCAGAGTCATTACTTTGCTAACAAAGGTCCATCTAGTCAAAGCTAAGGTTTTTCTAGTAGTCATGTATGGATGTGAGAGCTAGAGTATAAAGAAAGCTGAGCGCCAAAGAATTGATGCTTTTGAACTGTGGTGTTGGAGAAGACTCTTGAAAGTCCCTTGGACTGCAAGGATTTCCAACAAGTCCATCCTAAAGGAAATCGGTCCTGAATATTCATTGGAAGGACTGATGCTGAAGCTGAAACTACAATACTCTGGCCATCTGATGAGAAGAGCAGACTCATTTGAAAAGACCCTGATGCTGGGAAAGATTGAAGGCAGAAGGAGAAGGGGACGACAGAGGATGAGAAGGTTGGATGGCATCACCGACTCAGTGGAGATGAGTTTGAATAAACTCCAGGAGTTGGTGCTGGACAGGGAGGCCTGGTGTGCTGTCATCCATGAGGTCACGAAGAGATGGACAGGACTGAGCAACTGGACTGAACTGAAGACCAGGCAATGACATGTGGCTGATACCAGAAATATGTTTGCTATCATATCAGGGTGGTACATAATTTAAAATAAAGGATAAGCAACAATTTCACTCTAAGGAACTTCTCTTATTATTGTACAAACAGTAATAATGAATTCCACACAACACCTTATAACTTAGTGACTTACCTAGTGGGCCAGTGGTTAAGCCTCCCTGCTCCCAATGCAAGGGACACCTCTTGGATCCTTGGTTGGGAACCAAGATGGATCCCACATGCCCCAAGATGATACCAAAGAAATAATAAATAAACATGGTATAGTTTAAAAAACACATTGGTTCTGACACTTTACGTTAAATATAAACTTTAACCCTTTTAATTTCTGTAATAAATTTTTGTCCACAAACGCCTATGTTTTTGGGCAAGTGCTGCTGCTGCTGCCGCCAAGTCGCTTCAGTCGTATCCGACTCTGTGCGACCCCATAGATGCCAGCCCACCAGGTTCTGCCGTCCCTGGGATTCTCCAGGCAAGAACACTGGAGTGGGTTGCCATTTCCTTCTCCAATGCATTAACGTGAAAAGGGAAAGTGAAGTCGCTCAGTCGTGTCCGACTCCTAGCGACCTCATGGACTGCAGCCTACCAGGCTCCGCAGTCCATGGAATTCTCCAGGCAAGAGTACTGCGGTAGGTTGCCATTGCCTTCTCCAATGGGCAAGTGGTAGGTGTAGGCAATTCATCAGCTGCCTGTTTCCCTCTTATTATGGGATTGCTCTGAGAACTCAGGGCTCATTATGTAAAGGTGCAGTATTTTTCATCCTCCTGGAGGTTGACCTTTAGCATTGGGTTACTAAAACGAGGGTTGTGGAGCCTCGTTGAACGAGGCCTGCAGAGTTGTTGACGCAGGAACAGAGCTGGGGAATCCACGCCCCCTAGTGCACGGGCCTTGCAGGAGGCTGAGCTCAGAGCTTTCGCGCAGGAGGCTGAGCTCAGAGCTTTCGCACAGAAGGCACGGAGGGCTCAGAGCGTGGTGGGCTGCCGCCGGGTTATCTTCAGGAGTCCAACTCTCCTGGGGACACGTCAGCGACGGCCTTGCCCGTACACGTCCAGGACAGGAAGCCCTGAGCCAGGTGGGCAGTGGAAGCGGCAGTCGGGCGACTCCCGGCCCTGCAGACCCCAGCCTTTTCGCCGCGCCAGCGCCCCAGGATTCTGGCGCAAGGCCGGTTGCCTGGGAGTCGCCATGGCAACGGACGCCGGGTTCGGGACTCCGCCGGCGGCGCACGGCCTAGCGGCCACCTCCGCGGCTCCCATGGAGGTCTATGGCGACTCGGCGCCCGAGACCGAGGAGTGCTGGAGGATTATCAAGAATCTCGAGTGCACTCTTGAACAATTCCGGCTCAGTCCCAGGTGACCCGCGCGACCTGTGGCGCCCGGGCCCGCGCCCCTACCGGCGCGCCACCGCTCCCGTGTTCTCTAGCTCCAAGCCCCAAGGCAGCTGTTTTGGTATCTAAATATACTAGCATGTAGCAAGCACGGACTCTGGGGCCAGGCTGTCTGGGTTCAAATCCTCAAGACACTCTAAGGGCCCAAGACTTGGGCGAGTTAGTCACCTTCTCTGTGCCGCCTTATCTCTTCAGGAAAACAGCCGAGATGGTGATGCACAGCGCCTCCTTCGTAGTTCATAGCGAACGTTCAATGAGTCAGTCTGGAAGATCAACATACATATAGGGTGCATAGTACCGTGGAAGTGTTTGCCAATATAACTATCTTGTTCTTGACCCTTTGGGACAGTTTTTTCATCTTCTAATCCTTTGCCCTCCCCTGTCCCAGTTTTATTTGGATAATGTAGATCTGATGCTTGGGGTGGGGGACGGGGAGGGAAGTCTTTTTCTAAAAACCATTTGAAATCCCGTAAATGGCTCTCACTAGGTTAAGTGCTCTAGGTGCCCTAAGACAGGGAGCCTTGTGGTGCCAGGTGGGCTGGCTGAGACACCAGCCCTGCAACTGGCGTCTCTCTAGGGTAGGATGAAGGGCCCAGAGCCCTGTGGTGGGGACTGACGCAGTGAGATGGCACTGCCAGCCCAGCTGCCCCCGCTGAACTGTATTAAGTGAGCGCCTTTGTGAACAGGGATGGGGTGCACTCAGAACCCGGCTGATTGGTGATGTGAAAGCACATATTGGCTGTCGCGGATGGTGGGCATGGTGTTGAACTGCCCTAGTTGTTGACTAAGAGAGATGACTTCCTACCCCGGATTCCTTGGTGTTCCGTGGTGGGGAGCTTCTCCAGCAAAATTCACTGGCTGTGCTCAGCGGCCAAACTGACCGTGCCTGGGGCTCAATCAGTGCTTGTTGTCTGAATAAAGGAGCTGCCGATGCCCCTGTGAGTTTCTCCTCATAGGCAGGACCCAGGCCATTGTTGGTGCTCTGGTATCTGGTATGCGTGGGAGAAGCTGCAATCTTGGGGTGAGGAGAGAATCAGGCACTGGGGAGGCACCAGTCAACAAACCACCGACAGAAGCCTGTCCTTTCTGAAGTTTACATCCTAGGTAGGAAACCGGCAATAAATAAGCCGACTCCATAATAAAGTCAGTTAAGTGGTGGCGAGTGCTAAGGAGGAAACAGAGCAGAAGAAATAACCTGTGGAGTGGGGAAGGGAGTTCTAATTTTATTTTTCTGGTCATACCATGTGGAGTGTGGGGATCTACCAAGGATATAACCCAGCCTCCTGCATTGGAAGTGCTGAGTCTTAACCTCTGGACCACCAGGTAAATCTTACAGGCTATAATTTTAGATTCTGTAGTCTAGGAAGACTTCTTGGAAATGACTTTGGGGGGAAGAACTGCACACTTGAGGGGGGAACCTTTCTGCTCTATCAGGGAGCAAGTGTTCCAGGCAGAGGACAAGAAGTAAAGGAGAGTGGGCATAGGTGTCACAGGACCAGCAATGAGGCTGGTGTGGCTGGAGAAGAGTGATGGGGGAGAGCAGTGGTGATGAATGAGATCAGAGGTAAGAGGATGGATGGTGCTTATGGTGAGGAACCTAGATCATTGTAAGGACTGCAGCACTGACCTTGAATGAGGTGGTCAGATGTGGTTTTTCCAACACCCCCAAGCAATTCTCTAATTCTCAGCAGACAGTGATTGGGTATGTCTTGTAATTTGCTTATTTATTTATTTTATTTAAAGTATGGTTGCTGTACAATATTATGTATTATAAGTCACAGGTGAACAATAGAGTTATTCCTAATTTTTAAAGGTTATACTCCATTTATAGTTATTATAAAATGTTGGCTATATTCCCCATGTTGTAGAGTATATTCTTGTAGCTTACATCAGTTCAGGCCAATCGCTCAGTCATGTCCAATTCTTTGTGACCCCATGGATTGCAGCACACCAGGCTTCCCTGTCCATCACCAACTTCCAAAGCTTGCTCAAATTCATGTCCATCAAATCAGTGCTGCCATCCAACCATCTCATCCTCTGTCATCCCCTTCTCCTCCCTCTTTCAGTCTTTCCCAGCATCAGGGTCTTTTCCAATGAGTCGGTTCTTTGCATCAGGTGGCCAAAGTATTGGAGTTTCAGCTTCAGCTGAATATGAATATGAATATTCAGGACTGATTTCCTTCAGGGTTGACTGGTTGGATCTCCTTGCAGTCCAAGGGACTCTCAAGAGTCTTCTCCAACACCACAGTTGAAAAGCATCAATTCTTCAATGCTCAACTTTCTTTATAGTCCAGCTCTCACATCCATACATGACCACTGGAAAAATGATAGCTTTGACTAGAGGGATCTTTGTTGGTAAAGTAATGTCTTTGCTTTTTAATATGCTATCTAGGTTGGTCATAACTTTTCTTCCAAGGAGCAAGCATCTTTTAGTTTCATGGCTGCAGTCACCATCTGCATTGATTTTGGAGCCCCAAAAAAGAAAATCTCTCACTGTTTCCATTGTTTCCCTATCTATTTGCCATGAAGTGATGGGACTGGATAGTTTTTATTATACTGCTTAATCCCTTACCCCTATCTTGCCCCTCCCTCTTTTCCTCTCCCCACTGGTAACCACTAGTTTGTTCTTGTGTCTTGCAGTTTAACTGGAGATAGTGTCAGATTCCACAGGTTAAGGGCTCAGTCCCACAAGACTGTCCCTGTCCTCCCTCTTCAGAGGCTAATTGCAAGTCCAGGTTGTCACCTGTGCTTTTGACAACCAGGGCTAACTCAGAGGTTCCTTGAGTTCAGTTAATTTGCTAGAGTGGCTCATAGAACTCCAGAAACCAGTTTACTTACTTGGCTACTGGCTTATTACAAAGACTATTAAAGGACATGAATGAACAGCCAGAGGAAGAGATACATAGGGTGAGGTCTAGAAGGGTCTGGGGCATGGGGGACTCTATCCCTATGAAATTTGGAGTGCACCCCATGAATTCATTCTTGTTTACCAACCTGGAAGTTCTCTAAACCCTATAATTCAGGGATTTTTTTTTTTTATAAACTCTTCATTACACAGGCAAAATTGACTGAATCATTGACTTTTTGTGATTGATTCAACCTCCAGCCCGCTGTGGAAGCAAGGTTGGGGGAGGTGGGATTGGAAGTTCTAATCCTCTCCTTCTGGTTGGTTCCCCTGGCAACCACCTCCATCCTTAGGGGCCTTTCAAAAGTCACTTCATTAACATAAAATCAGGTGTGGTTGAAAGGGGCTTCTCATGAATAGCCAAAGACACCCAGTTAACCTTTTCCCCCTATTTCAGGACAGCAGACCAAATATTACAATAAAAGATTCTCTCATTGTGCTTGTCGTTTAGGAAATTCCAAGGGTTTGGACTGCTGTGAGGCAAGAAGTGTGTATGAAGACCTATATATATATATATTGTATATACATACATATAGGGCTTCCTAGGAAGGGCAGTTGGTAAAGAATCCACTGAGTCAGGAAGATTCCCTGGAGTAAGAAATGCCAACCCACTCCAGTATTCTTGCCTGGAAAATTCCATGGACAGAGGAGCCTGGCAGGCTACAGTCAAAGAGTCAGACATGACTGAGCAACTGAGCATCCACAAGTCGATATCTATAAAATTATAAAACACACTGCAGAGATGGGAAGACATGAGGGGAATGGAGCAGAAGAATCACATTATCTGGTTTATCTTTCAACCAAATTATTCTGGCTATTGTTTTGATATTAGACTCTAATGAGGGGAAACAGTGAGAGACTTTATTTTCTTGGGCTCCAAAATCACTGCAGATGGTGACTGCAGCCATGAAACTAAAAGATGCTTACTCCTTGGAAGGAAAGTTATGACCAACCTGGACTGCATATTAAAAAGCAGAGACATGACTTTGCCAACAAAGGTCCATCTAGTCAAAGCTATGGTTTTTCCAGTAGTCATGTATGGATGTGAGAGTTGGATTATAAAGAAAGCTGAGCATCAAAGAATTGATGCTTTTCAACTGTGGTGTTGGAGAAGACTCTTGAGAGTCCCTTGGACTGCAAGGATTTCCAACAAGTCCATCCTAAAGGAAATCGGTCCTGAATATTCATTGGAAGGACTGATGCTGAAGCTGAAACTCTAATACTTTGGCCACCTGATGCGAAGAACTCACTCATTGGAAAAGACCCTGATGCTGGGAAAGACTGAAAGAGGGAGGAGAAGGGGACGCAGAGGATGAGATGGTTGGATGGCATCACTGACGCGATGGACATGAGTTTGAGCAAACTCCTGGATGGGTGTGCTGCAGTCCATGGGCCGAGTCAGACACAACTGAATGAGGACAGGGGCAGAAACGGAAACCAGTTAGGGGACTACAACAATGAGCCTCGTGAAAAATGACTATGATGGTAGCTTTGGTTGGAGGTTGTGAGACTAGTCAGATTCTAGATTTATGTTGAAAATAGAACTGATAGGCACAGAGTGTGTAAGATTCTGATTTTTTGAACTGACTAACTGGAAGGATGGAAGTGCCATGAGCTGGGATGAAGAAGATTGAGACGAATAGCTTTGTGGGGAATATCATAAGCCTACTTTTTTTTTTCTTTTTTTTTTTGCTAATTTGGCTGCACCAGGACTTAGTTGTGGCATGCAAGATCTAGTTCCCTGACCAGGGCTTGAACCTGTGCCCCCTGCATTGGGAGCTCAGAATCTTAACCATTGGACCACAAGGGAAGTCCCTCAGAAGCTTACTTTTGGACATAATATCTTGGAAGTAACTCTTAGACATCCATCTAGGCTCTTTGGTTGTATGAGTCTTTAGGGCAAGAACCATAATTTACCCTGTATTCTTCTCAGTTCTTGGCTAAGACACCTAAAGAGTTTATTAACATGCATATCTCATGTGTCCATAGGAGTTACCTAGGAAAAATGACTAAAACTCTAAGATGGCCCAAACCACCACCTTGAATACCATCTTCAGATA